GACTGTTTCTTTTGCTGTGCAAAAGCTTCTTAACTTGATGAAGTCCCAATAGTTCATTTTTTCCCTTGCTTCCCTTGCCTTTGGCGATGTGTCTAGGAAGAAGTTGCTGTGGCTGAGGTCAAAGAGTGTTCTCCTTTAGGATTTTGATGGATTCCTGTCTCACATCGAGGTCTTTCAACTATTTTGAGTCTATTTTTGTGTGTGGTGTGAGGAAATGGTCCAATTTCATTCTTCTGCATGTGGCTGTCCAATTTTCCCAACACCATTTGTTGAAGAGACTTTTTTCCATTGGACATTCTTTCCTGCTTTGTCGAAGATTAGTTGGCCATAGAGTTGAGGGTCCATTTCTGAGCTCTCGATTCTGTTCCATTGATCTGTGTGTCTGTTTTTGTGCCAGTACCATACTGTCTTGATGATGACAGCTTTGTAATAGAGCTTGAAGTCCGGAATTGTGATGCCACAAGCTCTGCTTTTCTTTTTCAACATTCCTCCGACTATTCGGGGTCTTTTCTGGTTCCATACAAATTTTAGGATTTGTATTTGTTCCATTTCTTTGAAAAAAGTTGATTGATTTCCTTTTTGTTTACAGATAGAACTTTACTTCTTCCCTGGTTTAGAGATTTGGGGATTACCCACAATGGTGCTTGTGACAAGAAGTCAAATGTTTTTTACTCTTTCATTGCATATCCCTAGGGTTGTATAAATAAAACTTCTGTTCTCATGTGTCATATCACTGTAGAGGGAAAGAATTATTTGATACACCAAATTGTCATGTCCTACAGAGCCCAACATACACTATGACATGACTCTAGTCTTCCTCTTCTAACTCCCTATGTCTTACTTACTTTGCTCTGGCTATTGTCCTCTTTCCTCCTTGAAGTTACCATATTCCTTACCACTTCAGAGCCTCATATGTGCTGAGACGGTTTCCCTAATCTCTTAATCTTCATATTCCCAGCATCTCACACAGTACCAAGTATATAGCAGGCAATCAGAAGATGCTTAGTAAATGGATCAATGTATAAATGGATAAATAAATAAATGGATCTCATGAAATACTCAATAGATATTGGTTCATTGGTTCTCTAAGATAAAACAAAGAAGGCTGTCATGATGAAATTGAGCAGATTATCAGTGGGAAAGTGTGATTCCACTGAGAATATCCCAGGCTAACACTGAGAAATTCATGCTTTTCGTAAATCTTACATTGGGGCCTAAGAGAATGACCTAATATCCCTTATGTCAGTCTTTTAATGAAATCTGAAATTTTATTCTGTAAGTCTTTAGGTCTGTAAACTTAGTTGTTTATATTAAAAACATATGTAGGGATACCATCATCTTCTTCTTGCAATTACCTTAACTGGCACAATTTGCATTGTTTTACATGATAAATGAAAATACATGGATATTTTATGTTCTGAGAATTAATAAGCTTCCATGAAAGATGTTTAACTTAACAACAGTAATAATTTGAACATAGAACAAGTACTCTATAATAATAGATTAGCGTTAGGTTAATTGGTCTTAATGCTTGACTTTATAATTCGTTGTATTTCAACACCAATTATTTTATTACTTGCTCAGTGTATTGTATGTATGTTTGTATATATCATATATCTAGTGGAATTGATACACTGCAATTATTTTGGATTAGAGATTGCTGGTTTAACTATCAGCCAAAGATAATAATTCTTGCTTCTTTTTCAGATTTATTATTATCTTTTGAGCAATAAAAGGCAATGAGATAGTATGGATAGCAAACCAGCCACTCATTTGGTAATCAAGAGAGCTGAGGCCTAATCTCAGCTCTGTCACCAAATAACTGTGTGATTGTGGACTTGAATATGCCCATAAATATGTAGATGTTGGACAAGGTAATCCCTAAGAGTACTTTTATTTTAAAATAAAAATGAATGAAATGTATGAAATTATAGTGATGTATCACTATTTAAGTAGGTGCATTACATAAAAGAGAAAAGAATGGATCAATCCAAATAAGTGGGTGTTGTCAATAAACTTATTAGAGAATCTGGAGGATTTCAATCTTATATAAAAACTTAGGACTGTAGAGAGTAGATCATTGTAAGATTAATGCTGTGGAACATGTATGATGAACCCACAAACAAAAATTCATATCCACTCAGTTTTATAAGTCTCCTCTTCACAAACCAGAAAACCAAATATGTTCTTTGTGTGTGTGTGCATGTGAGCAAAAAGAAGCTGGGTCTATGTATTTCAAAGGAAATTAACTTAGAAGCATGATAACCAAGAAAGTTTATTCAGCTCCTTCTTATCTCTAACCATATAAGGAATTACCTGCTGGGCTTACTATCCAATTTTATCTGTCCAATCTATCCAATTTTGTAGATCCTCGCCATCACGGAATTTTCCTGAAAGTTGGATGTGCAATGATCATCATCCTCTTTGTAACAGTAATTGTGCTGAGCATTTTGGGTAAGTAATTATCAAAATTATTCATTTATCCTGAAGCATTTTTCTCTAATGACCTGTTGTAATTGTGTTTGCTGCTCAAGTGGTTCTTGAACAATACAGGACAACTTCACAAAATGTATGAAATTTGAAAAAATTAAAATTAGAGATATTTCCATAGAACTTCAGCCTGTGATGTCATTATGGTTTCAAATGAACTGATAAAGGAAAGAGAAGTCAGGACTATGTTTATATTTTATGGTCAAAATCACACAATGCAGTTTGATAGTGAGCTAAATATAAGCTTCTCTAAAACTACATTCAGATGAAAGGAAATGAAATTGTGTAGTATATTTCTGTGTAAGTTTATTCATATTAGCTACTACTGGACATTATCAATCTTGTATCAATAGGTGAGAAACTTGCCTGCAATTAATCAACTAAATGCAGCATTTAAAAATTGTACTCATGTACTTTGGACATAACAGCATAATCTAATATTCAGATAGCAAATGTTTTAATTATTGAATAAATGCTTGGAGAAAAGTTTTTCACATTTATCTATAGAACAAAGGTAATATACAGATTGTATATATTCCCAGGAATTCAGGTTTCCAGATGAAACCCTAGAACAGGCCAATGCATACCTGCCTATGTCAAAGAACCCTTGTGAATGATATTAGTAGTTATGAATGGCATTGGGGGAATGCAAGCTGGTGCAGCCACTCTGGAAAACAGTATGGAGTGTCCTCAGAAAGTTGAAAATAGAGCTACCCTATGACCCAGCAATTGCACTACTGGGTATTTGCCCCAAAGATACAAATGTAGTGATCCGAAGGGGCACACGCACCCCAATGTTTATAGCAGCAATGTCCACAATAGCCAAACTATGGAAAGAGCCTAGATGTCCATCAACAGATGAATGGATAAAGAAGATGTGGTATATGTATACAATGGAATTTTAGGCAACCATCAAAAAAATGAAATCTTGCCATTTGCAACGACATAGATAGAACTAGAGGGTATTATGCTAAGCAAAATAAGTCAATCAGAGAAAGACAATTATCATATGATTTCACTGATATGTGGAATTTGAGAAACAAGGTGAAGGGAGGGAAAAGTGAAACAAGATGAAACCTGAGAAGGAGACAAACCATGAGACTCTTAATCTCAGGAAACAAACTGAGGGTTGCTGGAGTGGTGGGGGGTGGGAGGGATGGGGTGGCTGGGTGATGAACACTGGGGAGGGTATGTGCTATGGCGAGCGCTGTGAATTGTGTAAGACTGATGAATCACAGACCTGTACCCCTGAAACAAATAATACATTATATGTTAATTTAAAAATTAATTAATTAATTTTAAAGATATGAATGGCATTGGAAGTTACAAATAAATAGGCATTGTGGTAGAATTCTAGAACTAGAAAGAGCTAGAAGTCCAGGTCAAACCTCTAGTTGAGATGGACACCGTAAGCCCCAGAAAGATAAGTTAAAGCCTCAGAAAGATAAGTTATTTGAATAGTTTAACCTAACATATTGTCTAATTGCAGCTATAAAATTAGGGGAGAGGGAAGCAAAAATAATTAGAATGAAAAATCTCTTCTATATATTTTTTGTTAAGGTAATAGATTTGTTTGTTACTAAAATGACAGTTTTCTAATAAAATGTATTTGTTTGTCACTAATACATTCATTACCAAAATACATTTTAAAGATTCAATTGCCTAATACACCCTATTTTGAAATTAAAAGTTTATTTCAGTTAAAATTATAAAAAAAAAGTCATAAAAAAAGATACTTTCCTCTTTGGAGAAAAAGTACTCTGGGCTCACACAACGCTTCTATATGCAGCATTTACATGCAGAATCTTGAAAGAAATAAAATTATGAACCAAACCAAAGCATATAAAATCTTCCCCCTGAATCAGGTGACACTGGATATAATTTAACAATATCTCACTAAACACAAACTATCCAAATGAGGCTTACGTCCACAGCTGGTTATTTTGTATTTATTAAAATGAATTATGAAAACTCCAGGAAAAAAAATAGGTGAATATCCCACTGGTCCCAGATCATATTTTTTTCATTTTTGCTAATGTTGACATTAATAAAATTAATAAGAGTGCAAAGGAAAGTTCAAATCTTGGAAAAATAGTGTTGTTTTTCCCCCTTAAATTTTTAATTATTTAACTTACTATAGAATTTCTACATTATTGAACTTTAGAGAGTCACTAGAACCCAATGGTTTTATGCTTTTTTATTTAATTAGGAAAATATATTTCTTCTTTCATCAGTTACCCAGTTCAAATCTGCAAGACATAATACAGTGGAAAATGAATCAAAAGAGAAATTCTGTACTGGGAAAAATAAATCTAGAAAAATCACCTCAACAGGTAACATTATTTTATATTGCCTAATTCCTGAGTAACCAGACATGTACAGTAGCATTGGTTTTACTGGAATATATCTGAAAAGAGAGATTCCTCTACCACTATAGAGGGATGGTTTAGATCATTGTTTTTTATGGACCCATTATAGTCCATGACAAAAATATTCAACGATCCAAGGCAAATGAAAAAAAATGAGCCTATAAAGAGTTCTAGATTTTTGAAAAGGTATTTCATTGAAATAATTGCATTTTATTATTTTTATTTCTATTGGGGCATGTGCAAGTGCAGAATATAGTCAGAATATTTTCATTCTCAAAGTTCATGATTAAACTATTTTTTTTCTTACCAGGTAATGTTATTACATGCAAAACAATTGTAAATGGTAATCTTATGTTAATCTTTCTCTTGCTCTCTCATATTTGCGCACTTTTAAAAGTCAAGAAAACAATTATTTGGCCTTTCTGCTCTCTTTTTTTTCCAGTGGTTTTTATTACATTTTTAAATCTGTTAATTTAATTCTTAATTCTATATGAAAAACTATATGCCATTCTTCTTTTGAACATCCAGGTGTAATTCTATTAGAAAGACTTATCAGTCCATAATGTAGAGTATATACAAATTCTGGGAATTCATTAAAACATTAAATTGGATTTGATATTTCCAAGCCCCCTCGACCACATTCTAAAACCTATCTGATACAACATATGTTCATTTTTTTCAACACGTGTGACTCTGAGGGACATTTTGTGAGACATTATCCCCAAAGCAAAAGCGTTGCAGTGTACCATGCCTACCACAGAGGTGGTAGTAGTGGTATTAAATAAAACTCTAGCTTTAAGTTCTGTCAAGCTGTTTTTTTTTTTTTTTAAGATTTTATTTATTTACTTGTCAGAGAGAGAGAGTGTGCACAAGCAGGGGGAGCGGCAGGCAGAGGGAGAGAATCCTCAAGCGGACTCCACGCAGAGCTGGACCCAGGGCTCGATCTCACGATCCTGAGATCATGACCTGAGCTGAAACCAGGAGTCGGAGGCTTAACCGATTGACCCACCTAGGCACCCCCAGTGATCAGAGTTTTCAATCCTAAGGACTTATTTCCAAACAAGCCTGTTAGCTTTTGATAGTGTCCTATTATCTGATCTTTTTTTTTACTTATTCTTTTATTTTTTAAATAATTTAAAACATTATTATTTATGATACATATGATTTTTTTAAATACCTAAAGTCTTTTGTGACCACATCTGCTGTTTGTATTTCCTGCTATGTTGCAGGTTTTAAAAAGCATTTGGTATATTTTTACTTTAATTTGAATGATTTCAGTTGATGGAATTGCTAAAAAAATAAAGATATTTTCTTGCAAAAATTATTTACATTTTCATCTGCAGGGAGGCAGTGAGGAGCTAATGATTGGATGACTTGAGGCACTTTTGAAGACCCTGAACTAATCAGTCTCACTGACTCACTCCATTACCTTTTGGTGAATCCAAGGTCTAGTCTTATGACCCTAGCATTGATATAAATCATTAGCCTTGAGGGGAACCTTCCCTTATGAACTCACTTATGCAAACACTTCCCCATTCCACCTCTAGCTAAGTACCTCCCTTTAGCTATTTCCCTTATTTCTTACAAGCTAAGCAATATTTTTTCATCTAATTCTTTTAGGATCTAATTATCTTATAGCAAAAGTATCTTCAGAAAAGAGTTTTGTCAACAGTGTGCCCTAACATTTGTATGTGTTAAGGTTCTTGAGCTATAAAGATCCAGGTGGTTAATTGGTAGACTGTAGACTTTATTTATTTATCTTGCTATACTTTAGAAAATTTTTTTAATATTCCATGTTACAAAAATGGTTGGTACTATCTAGTCAAAGTATCTATTATCAGAAATATAGAAGTGAAAATATAGTAGTTTCTTATTAAATATGTTCTTGAAAGTCTCAGTTGCATTGTTGCTGTGTCTTTAGCTATAATTACAGTATGTCTTTGGCATTATTAACTGGAAAGGTTTGGATTTGGTGTACTATATCAATCTAAAGAAGAACTGTACAAGCGAGACCATTGTGTGGACTTAATATTGAAAGCAAGAACAAAGGTCTTTTGAATGTACGTTGCTCACCTTACGCTTTTATTTTTACCCGTATGTTTGCCATTTCTGATGTTGTTCTTTCTTCAATATGAAAGTTTCCATTTATAAACATTTCCCATCGGCCTGAAGAACTTCCTCCAACATTCATTGTACTGACTATTTGATAATGAATCCTTTTAGTTTTCTTTTATCTGAAAGCATCTTAAGTTTGCCATGATTTTAAAAAGATATTTTCATTGGATATAGAATATTTTGTTGACAGTTATTTTTTTCCCTTAAGCAATTTTTTAAGTTTTTATTTAAATTCCAGTTAGTCAAAGTACAGTGTAGTGTTAGTTTGGGGTATACAATGCAGTGATTTAACAATTCCATACAGTACCCTGTGCTCATCACCGCAAGTGCCCTTCCTCTTCCCTATCACCTACTTCACTCATCCCCCTACCCACCTCCTTTCTGGTAACCATCAGTTTGTCCTTTATAGTTCAGAGTCTGTTTCTTAGTTCCCTTCAACAATTTGAAGATATTTTTCACTATATTCTGTCCCCCTATAATTTACGATGAGAATGAGGCTTTTTTTTTTAAATAATCATATCCCTGTAAATGGCATGCAATTTTTCTCTGCTTTCAAGATTTTTCTCTATCTTTGGTTTTAAGCAGTTTATTTCATTTTTACATATAATTTTCTTCATTTTATCCTGTTTAGGGTTTGATAAGCTTCTTGAAAGTATAAATTTATAAATTTAAATAATTTAGAGAAGTTTTAGTTATTATCCTTTTTCCCCCTTATTTTCTCTTTCCTCTGGTTCTAGGATGTCAATTTCTTTTCTTTTTTCCTGTATTTTTAAAAAGATTTTATTTATTTATTTGTCAGAGAGAGAGAGCACAAGCAGGGGGAGCAGCAGGCAGAGGGAGAAGCCGGTCCCCCGCTGAGCAGGGAGCCCGATGTAGGACTCAATCCCAGGACCCTGGGATCATGACCTGAGCCAAAGGCAGATGCTTAACTGGCTGAGCCACCCAGACATCCCTAGGACTTCAATTTCATATATGTTAGATATTTTTATATTCTCCTGCAAATCTTTGAGACTCTCCATTTTTTCCAACTTATTTTCCCTGTTTTTTTTTACCTTATCTATTTTTATTTTGCTTAAACAATAGTTTGACCTCTTTTTTTCATTTTTTTATTGTTATGTTAATCACCATACATTACATCATTAGTTCTTTTTTTTTTATCATTAGTTCTTGATGTAATGTTCCATGATTCATTGTTTGTGCATAACACCCAGTGCGCCACGCAGAACGTGCCCTCTTTAATACCCATCACCAGGCTAACCCATCCCCCCACGCCCCTCCCCTCTAGAACCCTCAGTTTGTTTTTCAGAGTCCATCATTTCTCATAGTTCATCTCCCCCTCCAATTTCGCCCCCTTCATTGTTTCCCTCCTGCTATCTTCTTCTTCTTCCTCTTTTTTTTTTCTTAACATATATTGCATTATTTGTTTCAGAGGTACAGGTCTGTGATTCAACAGTCTTGCACAATTC